CAAGCTTGTGGCCCGACCTCAGCCCTCCAGGCCGCACAGCGGGGAGAAGCAGGACCAGGCCAGGCTGTTCCTCGCGTTCCAGGATTTTGTGCGTGTGCTGTAATCCCAAGTGTGTCATTCCTGCTTCTGGCTGGAGACTTTCGGTGAGGGGGAGCCAGCCCCTTCCCCGACAGGTGTGGCTGCTGCCGCCTTCGCCCTCTGTGTGGAGCTGGCCCCGCCCTGCGTGGTCTTTCTGCCCGGGGGACTTGTGGGCACCCCTTTCAGGTCTCCTGGGGGTCGGCTCTTGCAGACGCTGCAGGTCTGTGAATTCCTCATTTGCCTTCGTCTGCGAGACAGATTTGCTGAGCGCAGGGTTTCAGTGCCTGGAAGCCGCCGCGCCTCCTGTCTGGCGTCGGTTCCGGCGAGAACCTGCTGTCGTCTTCGTCTCGGTTTCTGCGAGTGCGTGTCGGGCTCTTCCAGATTCCCCCTTTATCGCTGGTTGTAACTGGTGTGATTATCATGTGTGCGCTGCGGTTTTTTTCAGGCTTCTTGTGCTAGGGTTTGTTGAGCTTCTCGGATCTTTAGGTTTATTGTTTACAAAAAATTAGAACAATCTTTCAGCTGTGAGTTCTTCCAGTGTTTTTGTATCCATCTCTCCCTGTTTCTCTCTCCTTCATGGCCTCCGTGACAGTTGTCAGGCCACGTCCCTTTCCTCCTCTCCTTGGGACCCCCACCCACGGCTGTGCCAGGCCACGCCCCTTTCCCCTCTCTCCTTGGGGCCCCCACCCACGGCTGTGCCAGGCCACGCCCCTTTCCCCTCTCTCCTTGGGGCCCCCACCCACGGCTGTGCCAGGCCACGCCCCTTTCCCCTCTCTCCTTGGGGCCCCCACCCACGGCTGTGCCAAGCACTCGGAGCCGACCCACACCGCACGATGCTGGGTCCACGTCTGTTGTTGCTGTCTTCCCCGTACTTCACCTGGTTTCACAGCCGTGCCCGAGCCTACAGATCCTTTAACCCAATCAGCGTGTTTTCCACCTCAGCCGTTGCAGCTTCCTGGGTGCTGGAGTTCGGTCTTTTTTGATATTTTCTCTGTGCCTGCTTAACACATTTCCATGAGCCTCTGCGGTGCGTAGAATGCGTTTATAATAACCATAGATTTATTTATTTATTTGAAAGTCAGAGTTACACAGAGAGAGAAGGAGAGGCAGAGAGAGAAGGAGAGGCAGAGAGAGAGAGAGAGAGTCTTCCACCCGCTGGTTCACTCCCCAATTGGCCACAATGGCTGGAGCTGCGCTGATCCAAAGCCAGGAGCCAGGAACTTCTTCCGGGTCTCCCACGTGGGTGCAGGGGGTCCAAGGACTTGGGCCATCTTCTACTGCTTTCCCAGGCCACAGCAGAGAGCCGAATTGGAAGTGGGGCAGCCGGGACTAGAACCGGTGCCCATATGGGATACCGGTGCTTCAGCCAGGGCATTAACCTGCTGCACCACAGTGCCGGCCCCTGTAATAACCATTTTAATGTCTTTGACTAATCCGATCAGCTGCATTCCAAGTCAGCATCCCCTCGTTTCTCCTCTCGGTCAGGGAGCCTTCCTGCTTCTTGGCTTGTGTTAATTTCTGGTGGGTGTCAGACATGACTTCCTAAAATTACCCTTGATCCTTTGGGGCCCAGGTCATTTGGAGCCTTCGAGGTCTTGCTTTTGTTTGGGAGTACATGGGAGCGTTGACTCTGGAATGGTTTTCCTGCCGTGGTGCTCAGCCCTTCTCCGGGTTTTGCCTGGTGCCGGCGAATCCTGAGGTTCCCGTTTCTTCCGCTGGAGGCAGAGCCGTTCTCGGGGCTGTGTGAGCGCTGGGGATTGTTCCCGTCATCCCGTGGGGCTCTCGGTCCCTGGGCTGTGCTCAGCAGGACTCTGCCTGGGGCTTGGAGGGGCCCCTGCTCTGGCCTCTGGAACCCCCCTCCTCTCCGGTGCCTTTCCCGGGAGATTGGGCCCCGTGGGCTCCCCCACCTCACTCCTGTCCACTCTGGGAGCCGCTGTTCCCAATGGAATCCCACCAAGAGGGACACAGATCTCATTTGGGCAGCAGGCAGAACTGTGCATTGTGGGCGGGGGAAAGGCACAGCCAGCTCAGCAGTAGGTCCCCCCTCCCCGCTGAGCCCCCCATTGGCTAAATCCCTGACTTGGGCCACAGTCCTTCCTGGGGAGGCCTGGGCCTCACCCAGCCTGCTGGGCTCAGCCTGGACAACTGATGGCAAGGGCCTTCAAGCCAGTCTGGGGTCAGAACACCGGCTGGAGGAGGGGAGGGTGAGGGAGGGGGTTCCAGTCCTCTGTGCCCCGTCAGGGTGCGCTGGGAGCGGAGTGGGGACGGAACCCAGGCCCAGGACGGAGGGTCCAGGTTGGATGAGGCAGGTGGGTGGGACTGGAGGAAGAGTGGACAGTGGCTCGAGGAGATGCTGGGGACAAGTTGCTTGCTACCATGCAGGAAAGATGACTTCTGGAAATGCTGGTATTGGCGGGGAAGAGCCTGGGCGCCGCGGGAGGGAGGCTGGAGAGCGGCGGGGTCCAGGGGGCCCTAACTGCGGGAGGTGTCCTGGTGGCTCTCGGGCAGGGAGGTGCTGCAGCCACAGCGTCCCCGGGAGGCCCCGTAGCATCCACAGAGCTCCATCCTTCCCTCCAGGAATGACATGTGCCATGTGGTTTAGGGAGGGCACCTTGTCCAGGAACCAGGCTGGAGGCCACCAGAGCTTCCCCAGCCCCCGAGGCCAGAAGTGCCACATGGGCTCGCTCTGCCTCGGGGTGGGTGAGCGTGGACAGTTCCCATCCCCCCGAGAGGTCGGTGGTGACCATTAGGGACGTCTACGTCTCTCCTTGTGGTGGTGACACCGCGCCGAGTCGCCTGCCATCTTCGATCTGTGTGTGCCCTCTGTGTTGCCACGGTGCACGACAAATCCAGCCCTCTGCTTCCCTGAAGCGGGGTGCCTGCCCCCCAGAAGGGCACTGGGCGACTGAGCGGGCGTGGGGAGGGGCATTCGTCGCGGGCGAGAGGTGTGCTGTTAGAGCCGAGGTGGCGCCCACGCTGGGCAGGTGCCTGCTGGCCCAGGCAGGGCCCCGTGTTGGCCCCAGGCCCTCCCTTTGCACTCAGTGTGCACGGGGCTGGCTCAGCCGTGTGCTGCGCTGTTCTGTTTCCCCAGCAAGTGACCGGGGTGGTGACCTCCTCAGAAATCGATGTGGCTGGGCCAGCCGTTTCCAAAACATACCCCGGCAGGAGGGGAGGCAGGAGCGCGCTCGGCCAGCGGGAGCCGAGCCTGTGTCTCTCGTGATCTGGTTGGCAGGAACGGCCGGTCGCCCACGACACGACTCCTTCTGGAACGTGCTACAGCTTCCTGGCTCTCCTGAGAGTCTTCTCGGGAGAGCGTTCCGTCTTATTGTCGGAACGCGACAGTGCAACTTCCGCTCGCTTGATAGGAATACGTGGCGTGGGTGTCACCTGTGCCTGGGTTAGGCTCCGTGGTGGTGGAGGAGGGGCAGCCGCTCCGATGGTCACGCGTGGGAGTGGGCGGAACAAGCCCGTGAACCAGGATTGTACCCTGCCTGAATGTGTCCAGTCCCGCTGTCACTGAACTGTTGGCACCCACAGTAGCACTTGGGAGGCAGCGAAGGTTTCTTATGCCGCTAATAAATAAACAAGAGTACCACTGCTTGTTCGCCTCCCCTCAGAAACCTGTCTCCCGTGCAGGCCAGAGCGTAGCGTGTGGTCGCGTGGCGAGGACACACGTCTCACATGGGGACCTTGGCTGTGGCACACTCGGCAGGGGCCTCTCGGCCGGGCTGGCGGGCAGCCTCCTGGGAAGGCTGCCTCTGACACGGGCGTCTTTCAGCCACGTCACAGCCAGGAGACCATACGGCGGGAGACGCTCGTGCCAGCCACGTCCTGGCCTTGGCTCGGGATCGGGCCTGGCGTCCTGGGCTTGTGGCACCATTTTCCCTGCTCAGGAGTTTACTGTCCTGTGAGGCCATCGGCCTCATGGAGCCAGGAGCTGCCTGGCTCCCAGGCCTTCGCTGACCGCTGGCCGGGGGTGGGGCCTGACCTGTCGGCACCCCCCACCTCGGCCAAGACTCTGCAGCAGGTGGACAGCGCGTTGGGCCCCAGGGTGCTGGCCCGTCCCCGAGCTGCCACCTCCTCCTCCTTAGTGTCTAGAGTGAAAGCAGGAGCCCCAGGGAGACGCCACCCCACCCCCTGGCTCCTGGCATTGTGGGGAGGGTGAGGCAGGGGCGAGTGTGCTGGCGACGGGGAGCCGGCAGCTTTACCCCCCCGGATGCCCCAGCAGGTGGGGTGCTGGCTCCGCTGGTGTGTGTGGCTCTCCGGACCCTTGCCGTGGCTCTGGCGCCCCTGGTGGGGAGGAGGGGAGGGTTGAGTGTAGACCGTGGGCACGCCTGGGGCCTCATGCGTGTGATCTCACAGAAGCGTGCGTGGGCGGCGAGGGCCACGTGGCCGGGGGACTCACGGGGCTCCCGGCCCGCAGGCGGAAGAGGAGCGAGACGACATGGAGCGGGTGAAGGTGGACAACAAGCGGATCCTGTTCAACCTGCTGCCCGCCCACGTGGCCCAGCACTTCCTCATGTCCAACCCACGCAACATGGTGAGCGCCCGATCGCCACGGACCCCACGGGTGCCACGCGCAGCCTCTCTGCCTCCCCTGCAGGCCTGGGCCGGGAGGGGCAGGTGCAGGGGTTTTCTTCGGTGCCATAGCCCGGAGGGAACGTAGAGAACGTGGCTCCCATTGCCCCCAAGGGAGGGAAGACGAGCAGAGGCTGCAGCGCAGGGTGTGGGGCGTGGGCCGGGCGTGGTGTCCCTGGCCGCTGACTTAGGGCTCCGGGCACCTTAGCGGCAGCCTGTGCCCAGCCCCGGGGCGACGTGCTGCGCGCGCTCCCTGAAGCTCTGGGAGCTCGTGTCCCGTGGCTGCGCTCGTGCGGCAAGGCTCTCAGAACTGCCGTGGAACGCGCCAGAGCCCCAGACTCCAGGCGAGGTGTGGGTTGGGTTCCGGGTCCTGGAGGCAGCCCGGGAGCCCAGCCCGAGTCTCACCCTCCCGCTCGGCTGTGCAGAGCCCTCCCCTGTGGGCTCTGATTACGCTTACGTGGCTGAGCTCGGGGACGAGGTGGCTCCAGAGCCTCGATGCCTGTGTGGGGCTGACCCAGAGCCCCGGTGCCCATGCAGGGCTGACACAGAGCCCGGTACCCATGTGGGGCTGGCCCAGAGCCCCGGTACCCATGTGGGGCTGACTCAGAGCCCCGGTGCCCATGCAGGGCTGACCCAGAGCCCTGGTGCCCATGTGGGGCTGACCCAGAGCCCCAGCGCCCATGTGGGGCTGACCCAATGCCCAGTGCCTGTGCAGGGCTGACCCAGAGCCTCGATGCCTGTGCGGGGCTGACCCAGAGCCCCAGTGCCCATGTGGGGCTGACCCAATGCCCAGTGCCCATGTGGGGCTGACCCAGAGCCCCAGTGCCCATGTGGGGCTGACCCAATGCTCAGTGCCCATGTGGGGCTGACCCAGAGCCCAGTGCCCATGTGGGGCTGACCCAATGCCCAGTGCCCATGCAGGGCTGACCCAGAGCCCTGGTGCCCATGTGGGGCTGACACAGAGCCCCAGCGCCCATGTGGGGCTGACCCAATGCCCAGTGCCTATGCAGGGCTGACCCAGAGCCTCGATAACTATGCGGGACTGACCCAGAGCCCCGGTGCCCATGTGGGGCTGACCCAATGCCCAGTGCCTGTGTGGGGCTGACCAAGGGCCCAGTGCCCATGTGGGGCTGACCCAGAGCCCGGTGCCCATGTGGGGCTGACCCAGAGCCTCGATGCCTGGGCGGGGCTGACCCAGAGCCCCAGTGCCCATGTGGGGCTGACCCAGAGCCCAGTGCCCATGTGGGGCTGACCCAGAGCCTCGATGCCTGGGCGGGGCTGACCCAGAGCCCCAGTGCCCATGTGGGGCTGACCCAGAGCCCTGGTGCCCGTGTGGGGCTGACCCAGAGCCCGGTGCCCATGTGGGGCTGACCCAGAGCCCATTGCCCATGTGGGGCTGACCCAGAGCCCTGGTGCCCATGCAGGGCTGACACAGAGCCCATTGCCCATGTGGGGTTGACCCAGAGCCCAGTGCCCGTGTGGGGCTGACCCAGAGCCCAGTGCCCATGTGGGGCTGACCCAGAGCCGTGGTGCCCATGCAGGGCTGACCCAGAGCCCATTGTCCATGTGGGGCTGACCCAGAGCCCAGTGCCCGTGTGGGGCTGACCCAGAGCCTCGATGCCTGGGCGGGGCTGACCCAGAGCCCAGTGCCCGTGTAGGGCTGACCCAGAGCCCTGGTGCCCATGCAGGGCTGACACAGAGCCTGGTGCCCGTGTTGGGCTGACACAGAGCCCAGTGCCCGTGTGGGGCTGACCTGTGCCCTGGCCCTACAGGACCTCTACTACCAGTCCTACTCCCAGGTGGGCGTCATGTTCGCCTCCATCCCCAACTTCAACGACTTCTACATCGAGCTGGACGGCAACAACATGGGGGTGGAGTGCCTGCGGCTCCTCAACGAGATCATCGCCGACTTCGACGAGGTGAGGCCGCCGCGGCCGGCGAGCGTCTCTGTGGCTGCGGCGGGGAAGGCAGAGCCCGAGGCACGCCGCGCCAGCCCCAGGGCGTGGGACAGGCCGCCGCGCGGGGCTGGCAGCCTCCTCACCACGTGGGTGGGCAGGCTTCCCAGGCCCTCGGGTGGTGGGGGACAGGGCCACATCCTGCCCTGTCCTTTCTCGCCGCCCCTCCCAAAGGAGCTCCCAGAACCGTGTGAGGCCCCAAGTGATGGAGTCAGGCTGTGTCCAGAAGGCGCTGGGCCACTCTGCTTAGCTCCTGGTGGCCGCTGGCTGTGGTGCTGTTTCTTAAATGTTGTGTAATGTTTACCAGTTTTGTGTTTTAAACAAAGCTCATGGACAAAGACTTTTACAAGGACCTAGAGAAGATCAAGACCATCGGGAGCACCTACATGGCTGCAGTGGGGCTGGCGCCCACGGCCGGCACCAGGGTGAGTGCCGTCCTGGGCTGCCTGCTCGGGACCCGGCCCAGCCCTGTGTTCCCTCTGCGCCCCGGGCGGGTCCCTGCGGTTTGTCCTTCCCAGAGCAGGGTTGCGAATACACGCAGATGCATAATCGGAATAGATGGGTGTCTGTCGGGGAAATCCGATCCACAGTCATGCTCTAAAACAGAAGGCACCGGCCAGATGCCTTCGCCAGGGGCTTCTCCCAGTTGCGCAGTTCTCTCCTCCCTCCTCCAGGAGGCGCAAGGAGCGAACACTTGGTAGCTCACGGTGCGCGGCCAGCACCAGCCAGAGTCCCCAGCAGCAGACACTGAGAGGAAGGAGGTTGCAGGAGTGTTTCTCCAGGATAGCGATGCGGAGGTCCTCTACACACGTTAGCAAGTTGAATCCAAAAATAAATAAAAAGAATTAAATGTCAAGACCAAGTTAGACTTACTCCAGCTGCGCAAGGCCAGTTCAGCTTTCTGAAGCGAGTCATGCAATCCAGCGTGTCCCTAGGACGAAGAAGAAACCTGATCCCAGCAGCCGGTGCAGAGGAGTCACCTGGCTCTGCCCGCCGCCCGTGCAGACGGCAGCTCTGGGTGACCAGGGAGAGAAGGGAACGTCAGTCACCTGGAACACCTGCAAGAGCCCACAGCGTAGCCTCACACCCGGGAACGAGATGACTGTCCCCGGGCCGCAGCCTGAGTGGGCCCGGGAGGCAAGGTGTCGGCCAGGCGGGAGACTGTGCCGCTGCTCAGTCTGCCTGTGAACGGGTTTGCTGTGGGAACAGCCGAGCCCTGGATTAGTCTCGGTTACCCGGGTTTGCTGTGAGCATAGCCGAGCACTGGATTATAGCCGAGTACTGGATTATAGCCGAGTTCCGGATTAAAGCCGAGTACCGGTTTATAGCCGAGTACTGGATTAAAGCCGAGTACCAGATTATAGCTGAGTACTGGATTATAGCTGAGTACCGGTTTATAGTACTGGGTTATAGCTGAGTTCTGGATTATAGCCGAGTACTGGATTATAGCCAAGTACTGGATTAAAGCCGAGTACCGGATTATAGCCGAGTACTGGATTATAGCCGAGTACTGGATTATAGCCGAGTGCCAGATTATAGCCGAGTACTGGATTATAGCCGAGTGCCGGATTATAGCTGAGTACCGGATTATAGCCGAGTACTGGATTATAGCTGAGTACCGGATTATAGTACTGGGTTATAGCTGATACTGGATTATAGCTGAGTACCGGATTATAGCCGAGTACTGGATTATAGCTGAGTACTGGATTATAGCCGAGTACTGGATTACAGTACTGGGTTATAGCTGATACTGGATTAGCCTCTCGTTTCTTTGTGAACACAGCAGCTCCCTGACTTTGAGGGCTATTAAAATCTCCTTTAGAAATAAAAATGAAAAATCTTAGAGCTGCTGCTGTTCCCTGAAAGGACCCCTGTTCCTCACACACACACACATGCACACACACATGTATACACACACGCATGCGCACACACATGCACACACATGCCCGCACACACATGCATGCAGCACACATACATGCACACACGCATGCACACACGTGCCTGCACACACATATACACACATTTGCACACACATAATCCTAACACATACACATATACACTCACACAATCACACACACACAATCACACACAAATATAGACTCACCTTCACACACTCACGTGATCTTACACACACATGAATACACACCCAGATATTCACACATACATGGAAATATACATTCATGCACTCACATAATCACACATACACTCACACATAATCTCCCACACAGAACACTCATATACACATATGTGTACACTCACATTCTTCTCACACACACACACACACACACACATGCGTGCAGGACCAGGCTCTCGGGCTAGGGAAGGAGGCCGGGGCTGCTCCCTCCCCTCTGCCGCCCCCTCTGCATGGGCAGTGACCGTGCCGTTGTCCCTGCAGGAGCCCCCAGGCAGCCCTGCGCCCTGTGGCTCACATGGCTTCGGGTGGGTCGTGTCGGCCTCTCAGAGCTGGGGTCTGCCCAGGACCCCGTCTCTACTCCGGCTCCTGCCCACGAAGAGGACCAGCGGTGTGCCCCGGCCAGACACCTAGGGCACCTGCCACGCCCAGGCTGCAAGCCCCCATCCCGTGAGGGGCGGGGTGCTGGCCGGCCCCTGCTCGCTTCCCCGGGCGTGCCCCAAACACAAGGCCCCCATCTGTTCCCGCCCAGGCTAAAAAGTCCATCTCCTGCCACCTCAGCGCCCTGGCCGACTTTGCCATCGAGATGTTCGACGTCCTGGATGAGATCAACTACCAGTCCTACAACGACTTCGTCCTCCGCGTGGGTACGTGCTCACGCCTGCTGGCCTGGCTCCCCGTCCTGCCTCAGCGAGGGTGGAGCTGCCCAGGGCCACCCCCGCGGCAGCTTGGACTGGGGTCCTTGTCCAGGTCCCGAGACCTAGTGGGACTCAGGTGCTGCTGAGAGGCTGAGAGGCACACAGCTGGAGGGAGAGGTGCAGGCATGGGCACAGGCACCCAGGAAGAGCCCCCGGTGGGACCCTGGAGGGCCTGTGTCCTGGGGGCTCCTTCCGTGGCCTGGGAAGTGAGTGGGGGGAACCGCCAGTGTCCAGGTTCCTTTAAAGCTTTTCAGAACCATGGTGCGTTGGTTTTTTAAAACACTTTTATTGGCCGGCGCCAGTGTCCCCAAGCGGCTGTGCTTAGCATCATGGCTCCGCCTCTGAGCCGCCACATTTTATTATTTAAAAAAAAGAGAAGCCCAAGCCGGCGCCGTGGCTCACTAGGCTAATCCTCCGCCTAGCGGCGCCGGCACACCGGGTTCTAGTCCCGGTTGGGGCGCCAGATTCTTTCCCGGTTGCCCCTCTTCCAGGCCAGCTCTCTGCTGTGGCCCGGGAGTGCAGTGGAGGATGGCCCAAGTGCTTGGGCCCTGTACCCGCATGGGAGACCAGGAGAAGCACCTGGCTCCTGGCTTCGGATCAGCACGGTGTGCCGGCCGCAGCGGCCATTAGGTGAACCAACGGAATGAAGACCTTCCTCTCTGTCTCTCTAAAAAAAAAAAAACACTTTTATTCATTTTCATTTTACTTGAAAGGCAGGGAGAGAGAGAGAGAGAGAGAGAGAGACTGGGACACAGAGGTGGTTCTCTCCACTGGTTTATTCCCAGATGCCCAAGCAGTGAGGGCTGGGCCAGGCCGAAGCCAGGAGTCAGGAGCTCGACACAGTCGCCCACGTGGGTGGCGGGGGCCCGGGCACCTGCGCCACCACTGCTGCCTCCCAGGGTGTGCACCAGCAGGGAGCCGGGCCTTGAATTCAGGCTCTCCCATGTGGGGCGGGCACGCCCCCTGGATGTTCCACCTGTTTGTATTTTAATCCTAACCCCCCCCCCCCCCATTAGACAGTTTACCAGGAACTTCCTGCTAGTACAGGATAGAGTTAAACTGGAGGAGTACAGTTTCCCCCTTTTCTGTCTCTCTCCCTCTTTCCCTCTCTCCCTCCCTCTCCTCTCCCTTCCTGGCTCAGAATGCAAGCTGGAGAGTTCTGGCCTGTTTGGCACTCAAGCGCTCCGTGGCCTTAAGAGCACAGCTGGGTGCTGTGGGGGTGTGGGGATGGTGGCAGGGGGTCCCCTTCACGGCAGGTGCACTCGTGTGTGCTTGGCGGCCTGAGGGGTGTGCTGGGCAGGTGCTAGCCTGCCGATGGGCCTTGGGCTGTGACCAGAAACAGATCTAACTGTGGGCCAGGGAGACCCGCTTCCACGTTCCTTGCACTCCCATGGGGCAGTGGTTGGCGGGCTTCGGGGCTCGTCATGTAGTGGAGCCCAGAAGTAGCCCTGGCCGTCTCCTCCATGTGGGGAGGGGCCTCAGGGTGGGCAGAGGGGGCTCGCTCAGTCCAGAAGCCCTGTGAGGTTCCCCTGGGGGTTTCCCACTGGAACCTGTCCTGGCCCACACCCCCGTGTCACCTCTCGCTGTTCCTGCACACCAGCCCCCACCATCTAGGGTCTCGGGGGAGTCTGCAGGCCAGGCTTAAAAGCACCCACCCGGCAGCAGGGAAGGGGCAGTGGAGGTGGCCTCGGCTTGTTCCAGGCCATGTCGTGGGGAGAGCTCGCCAGATGCCCCGCCCGAGGCCAGGCCAGGGGGCCCAGGTGCTCAGGTGAGGCCCGGCCAGGGTCCCAGGTGCTCAGGTGAGGCCAGGCCAGGGCCCCTGGTGCTCAGGTACCCTATTTTCGGGGGAGGAACCCAGTCCCAGCGAGGGTGAGTGCTTTGCTGAAGGTGGCACAGGGCCTGGGTCAGGCGATGGCCTGAGACATACCAGCGCCTCCCCCCACCAAGTGTCCGAGAATCGGCTCAGTGCTGGGACCCACGGTCTGGGGCTGCACCCAACATAGGAGGGGAAGGGGCTGCACTTGGGGACAGACTGACCACCTCTGGTTTTCTCCAGGATCTGGAATCTGCTGACCGCCAGTGTGGCTGCAGGGGGCAGTGGGTGGTGATGTGAGGGTCCCGCTGCCTGCTCAGGGAGCCCAGGGCAGGTGGAGCTCACGGCTGCCTTCCTGTGAGGCTGGGGGAGCCCCTACTTAGGGTAGAGCCTGGTACCAGACGACCCCAGGAAGCAGGACCCCAGTAAGAACAGCTTTTCCACCAGCAGCTGTGGCACCCAGTCCAGGGCGGCCCCTAGCAGGTGCGTGTGGCACTTTGCCAGCTGGCCGCAGGCCACACCTGCCCGGTTGTCTTGCAGGCATCAATGTGGGCCCCGTGGTGGCCGGGGTGATTGGCGCTCGCCGGCCGCAGTATGACATCTGGGGGAACACGGTCAATGTGGCCAGTCGGATGGACAGCACTGGCGTCCAGGGCCGAATCCAGGTCAGTTCCCCCGGAAGTCCCCAGAGCACACGCACGCCTGTTCTGCGGGTGAGGGCACCCAGGCGTGGGGGCCCAGGGCCAGCCCCGGAGCGTGGCCAGTCTGTGGCAGCACGGACCCCAGCATGTGTCAGGGTGTCTGCTGGAGCTGGAGTTTGCCGCCTGACTGTACGGCCATGGGAGTGCCGTGGGTGCTCCAGGGCCCTCCCTGTGCTGGGACCCAGCCCCGTGCTGCCGTGGCCAGGAAGGGCTTCTTCCCTGGGGCTGAGGGCAGAGTGCCTTCCACATCCCAGGAGCTCCCAGGCCACTCGGGGGTCGTGACCTGGTGGCTGAACCTGGGCAGGTTCAGTATGCAGCGTGGAGGGGCGCGATGGGGTCCGCTGGTGTCCCGAGGGACAGCGTGACCTCAGCCCTGACACCCCCAAGGGTCAGACGGAGCCAGGAAGGGACCAGCTCGCCTGAGAACTGAGGTCCCTTCTCCTGGTGTGTGACATCATCAGCGCTGGTCTTGGGGACCTGTGACAGTGGGGCAGAGCTGGCCAGGCAGGGCTGGTTCCCTGCTGCTGGGCCGTGGACCACGGAGGCAGGTGTCTGGACCCCTCCTGCAGCAGCCGTCAGCTTCCGCGGCTTGGTCATCCTGCGGAGCCTGCTGGGGGCAGTGTTCGCCCATTTGTGTGGAGGGTGCCGGGGGCAGTGCAGCAGCCAGCGTGGTCTCCAGCCCGCAGGCCGCCAGCTGGGGCCTCGGCACGAGCTCTGGGCGGGGCGCCTTGGCTGCACCCTGGAGCGCGGCAGGTCGGGGGCGGTCTAAGGCCGGCAGCTCAGTGCTGCGCCTCTGTGTTCTTAAAAACATCCTGTGATTTCCTTCACCGCAGTAAAATCCACAAAAGCGGCGCCGGGCTCTGGTGGTCCAGCGCACACAGCGCGTTGCTGTGTGGACCTGAGCTCCGGTCTGCAGCCTCCCCAGCTGCTCACGGTCCAGGGAGAGCTTCCCAGGAGCACCGTCTGCCCTGCCCCCACCCACAGTGCGTCTCTGTTTCCAGACTCAGATCTGAGCCCGTCGCTGCCCCGGCCCCGCCTCCTGCACACGTGGCCACTCGCCATGGCCTGTGTCTCCCGTGGGCCTCCCTGGCACTGAGAGGCCCTGGGACCGTCCTCCCTGCTCAGATGTGCCCGTGCCTTCCGTGCTGCCGGGACTCAGGACGGGGTTTGGGATGCACTGAGCTGCCGCGGCTGAGGGTGACAGAGCTGGGTGCCCACATGGGGCGGGGAGCAGCCAGGACACCAGGGAGGCCAAGGGGTGGCTCCGGGATGAAGCAGGGGAGGGGCAGCTCTGACCCGTTTGGCTGCAGGATGAGGTCCCTGGGAAAGTGCTGCATCGTCGTTGTCGTTGCTTGTCCAGCTGAAGCGTGGCCCTGGTGGCTCACACCGGCCCGGCCCCCATCCCCTGCCCGTGGGAGCGCCCAGGTCACTGCTCCCAGCTCAGGGCCAGGCCAGTGAAGGTCGTGTTTGCCATTTGTTCAGGAGCAGGAATCAGGACCCCTGGGCTGTGCCTCCCACCCCAGCCCAGGTCCCTCTGGGTCCCATGGGTGGTCTTTGCAGGGTCTCGTCCGTCTTAAGGTAGAACGAAACAGTTGCAGCAGGAGCTAGGGCCACAGCTGACAGGGTGGGCAGGGACAGAAGTGGCATGGAATGTTCTGGAATGTTCCGGCTCCTGCTCCCACATGACCCCCTCCTGGCTTCTGTCCGTCCACAGGTGACGGAGGACGTCCACCGGCTGCTGAGAAAGTGCCCCTACCACTTCGTGTGCCGAGGCAAAGTCAGCGTGAAGGGCAAGGGGGAGATGCTGACCTACTTCCTGGAAGGCAGGACCGACGGGAGCGGCTCCCAGCCCAGGTCCCTGAGCCTGGGGCAGAAGATGTGTCCTTACGGGAGAGGTGGCCTCCAGGCCAGGCGCCCCCCACTGGGCCCTGCGGCCGGCCCCCTGGTGGGTGCCGGGCTCCCCCAACAGCCCGCTGCCCAGTTCCTGCCCCCTGCAGCCGCTGGGAAGGAGGCCTAGCAGAGCCCAGGCTGGCCACTGGGCACGCACCCGGGGCAAGAGTGCCCCAGGCCACACAGGCCATGTGGCTGCAGCCAGGACCAGCCGACATGCAGTGCAGAGAGCCTGTGGCCTGGCTGTCGGAGTGTGAACCGAGGGCCCGCGGAGCCCTGTCTGTGCCAGCCCCCCCGGGGGCTTAGCTGTTCCTCCCCAGTGGCCCTGCCGGGGTCAGGCCAGGCTGGCGCCAGCGTCAGCACTTTGGGAGATCCGTCGGACTCGGGGCGAGGGCGCGGAAGTCTGGCTGGCGGTGACCAAGGAGACCCAACACAGCTCCGTGTCCATCCGGCCCGAGCGGATCCTGACTCCAGCCATGAGCGGCGGCCTTGAGAGCCAGAAGGGAAGTGAGGACCCACTGGGCAGGGCCCCAAGGCCTGGGCCGCTCACCCCACGGGCACAGCACGGGGCTGGGTGGCCTTGCAGGGGACCGTGTGGGCAGGACTGCGACACGCCTCTCACGCGTGGGGAGCGGTGAGGTTTTGTGTCGAGACTGTGGGGTGGGGCTTCAGGAATCCTCACAGGAGGGGCTGGCCCACAGCCTCACTCCCAGCGTTGTGGGTGTGGCCACGTGGCCCGCCCATGTGTGCTGTACCTGCCGGCCCTGGCTCCGGTGACCCTGGGACATCCACCTGTGCTGTCGCCGCGTTCTGAGGAGGGGGTGGCCTCATCCTGTCTTTCCTGCCGGGTGAGAACAGGCCAGTTCCCTTGCTCAGGACGTGGTCCTCTGGCAGATCGAGCCCTCCTGGCCAGGGTCTCGGCTGTGGTCTGGGAGGGAGCTACAGTGGCTTTGACAGTGGCCCCATGCACTGGGTCCAAGATGAGGGTGTGGGGGGACTGGTGGGCAGGGGCCGGTCAGCCCCTGTGGGCGAGGCGGAGCCCTCTGGTGTGCAGGGAGGGGGCAGGGCGAGGCCCCCTGTTTGCAGGGGTGGCCACAGGGCTCGAGTGGAGAAAGGGAAGCCTGCCTCCAACCCCCGCTCGTGGCCACCAGGCTCAGGGGCCTCTCTCCACCGCCCCCTCCCTAGAGTGTAGACCCTTGTGTGGGCCCTGCTGTGTGTGGATCCCAGTCGGGTGGGATGGTTGTGTCCCCTGGGCAGCTGGATGGCCTTGGCCACAGCTGGGGGCGGCCGGGGTGGCTTTGCTGGGCCGTGTGTGGTGCTGGGACAGCTGTGTGTGCTTGGTACTGTGTGGTGGCTGTGGCCGAGGTGGCTCTGAGAATGGGGCACAGGGACCATGCAGGGTCCCCTGCCTGCCTGTCCTGAGGTGTGGACCTGGGGACAGGTGAGAGCTGAGAGGAGCTCTGTCCACTCTCCTCCCTCTCGGACAGGGCTGCGTCTCCACGACGGCCCCTGGTGACCCTCCTCTGGTCACCCAGGAGCCCCTTGGCCAGGGCCAGCTGAGCTCAGAGCCGGCCACAGACTTCAGGGGGTGAGGAGGGCAGCTTGGTCTTCCTCTGGGGGCCTGTGTGTGGCGTGGGGCTGGGGGCCGGCGGGGGTGCTCGGGAGGCAGGAGCTGGTGTCCCCCACAGCCCCACTGTGGGCAGATCCATCTGCTGACCCACGGGCTGAGAACCTGGCTGGCCCTGCTCAGGGCCCTGCCTCAGCTGGGCTCCCCACCTTGCTGTCTTTAGGACGACAGATGACTCGTCCTGGTCGTCCCCTTTGTGCTGGGACTTCCCCGTCCATCCATCTGCCCCCAGCAGGAGCCACATGCAGTGAGCGGGGCCCAGTGGGTGTGGTGACCCCGGCCCTGGTCACTCACAACCTGGGTGCCCCAGGCGTGGGGCTGCCTCTCATGCAGCCTGGTCCCCGTGGGTCCCCAGTGCTGCTGGCTGCCCAGGCCATCCTGTGTCGGGGGCAGAGGACTCATGGGACTTGGCTGGCAGAAGGAAGAACAGGGATGTTAGAAGACAGGTGGGGGTTGGACCCCGGCCTGCACTGTGTGGGAACACGGTCCCCTCCCCGCAAAGGGACCAGGGCAGAAGGGCTGGGAGGGGCTCCAGACAGGACGGCGTGGGGACTCGGCTGTATTTGGGTTTACAGAAGGCTCAGGAGGTGGTGCCGCTGTGCTGCCATGCAAGGCCAGCCCCCAGCCCTAGCCAGCGGGGGAGGTGGCGCGTGGTTCCCACAGCCATGGCAGCCAGGCTCGGCAGCAGCTGGAGGAGGAGCGGATGTGTCGCCAGGGCCTCTGGTGACACCTGGACTTGACTTGTAGGACCCGGAGCACAGCCAGCCACATTGTGACCAAGCCTGGGGGACACGGCTGGGCACATGTGCCACCAGGCCGAGAGCACAGGCGGGCGTGTGAGTGAACGCGTGTGGTCCCCCCTGTGGCCGGGGACCGGGAGGCCTCTGGGTGCAGGGTGGCGCCGTGCAGCCCGGCTGGGCCCACACTTCTCCATCATCAGCAGCTCCAAACCCTGCCCGCCTCCTGCGTGTTCAGCGGCACGTGTAGCCATATGTTCCCAGGGGTTTGGTGAAGAACCTGTTCCTTTTTATTTATGAACTGTATGATATTGCCTTATTTATTTTTAATCTTGTACAGTATTCATGTACAGAGGGTGGAGCCCTCAGTAGGATTCTCTAAGTTCCTTCTTGTAGGATGCTCTGTACATAGTGCACGCGCTGCAGGGCCCACCTGCACACCGCACCAAACACGAGGAAGGGCCTGGCACCACGCCTCCCTGCGAGGGGCGGCCTGCCCCCCGGGCCTCTGGCCCCCAATGCTTCCACTCCTGGGGGCCTCCCAGGCCCGGCAGCCGAGCCGCCAGCCCAGGTTTCTCAGACTCCAAGGCCATCAGGGCTTCTAGACCCTCTGTCCGAGAAGCAATAACCCCAACTCCATCCCAAAGAGATGAGTCTGGCCCAGAGAAGAACCACACACCCATGCGCTTGTCTTACCCTGGGGTCGCCACTCCCCAGGCCCCGCCCCTCCCTCTGCCCGGCCCCAGTACCAGGGCTGAGCTCTGCGCCCCGGCAGGTGAGCAGACAGCGTGGGTGTCCGAGCCTCCTGTGGGGAGCCTCGCTCGGGGAGGGAGGAGGAAGCCAAGGCAGTCCCCACGCAGGATCCGATCTGTCCCTTGCTGTCTCCGTGGCTGGCTGCGTGGTGTGTTGCTACAGTGAGTTAAACGGGGGAGCAGTGCGAGGCCTCCCCAGGATGTCCCCCTGGCTGGAGGGGATGGCGGGAGACGTGGGGGCGTTCTGGGTGAGGTGGAGGATGCGGCCTGGCCACAGTGGTGCACTTCACCCAGCCACGGGGAGACAGAGAGGTCCTGTCGCTGACCAAGAGCTCCTGGCCGCAGTGGGCATGAGGCAGGGTGTGTAGAGGGTCCCAGCGGGGCACTGGGCTACAGGGCAGCACCCTGACTCACGTGGGCCCCACACGGGTGCTTGGTCTGCAAAGCGTGCGCCCTCTGGAGCTGTCACAGCCCCGGAGGGTGAAAGTCCCGTGTCCAAACCGTACGTTCTGGAAATGTGCAGGTGTGCTGGTGGTGTGCGAAGCAATGGCCGCGCAGCGCTGGGCCTGCTGAGACAGTGGAGTGTGCTGACCCTGCTGGCCGCATGGCTGCTTCTCTTGCAAAGCCTCCCGGGTCGCTCGCGTGGAGCTCTGCTTCCTGAGCGAGTGGGGGCCCGTGCGAGCGGCTCTTGCTCCACAGTCCCGGCTGTCTGCACTTGCTGCTTCTCAGGCCAGGACTCGGGGACCCGCCTGGAGGTGTGGGTGGAGGGGCTGCTGGGGCCGGTGTGGGTGTGGCTCAGCCTTCTAGATGAGCCCAAGGGTGGCAGAGAGACAACGGGGGACTCGCTGGGCCTCAGAAACCCACGATGGCCATCTGCACACGCATTGTTCCGTGCGCTCTGGCACCAGGGAGGACACGCTATTTCCGGTGTTCGGTGAAGGTGCTGGTGGTGGTTGGACAGCCCATGGCTTCTGCCTGCTGCGACCCTACCCTGTTCAGGCAGCGGGAGACGAGGGCTGAGAGCAGTGTCCCAGCTGGACCCCCTGAAGCCGAGGGGCTCCCGGGGTTGGGGCCGGAGGGGTGGGCTTTGAGAACCTTCTGCCCTGCTGGTGGGCAGGGATGGTGCCCAGGGGGTGTCGGGAGGGGTGAGCCCTGTTGCATTGGGGGAGGGGGTGGCTCGGTGCATCGGCCGTGCTGGAGAACTGGGGGATGGAGGACCCTCTCCCTGCGCCTGGGAGACAGCCAGGGCATCAGAGTGGCTGCAGTGTGGTTCATGAGCTCAGCCCTCCGCTGACACAGTGGGCTCCTGGGGCTGCCACAGCGCCGGACCTGCAGGGACGCTGGGGGAGTGTCGGGTTTCTGCCTTGTCCCCAGACCCTGGGATGGGATGGGAGGGGACCTGTCACTTTCAAAGTCAGCACCGTTAGCGCCGCCCGTCCATCCCACAGCTTCCCTAAACCACGAACAGCCAGTTCATAACTTGAACACCCGTCTGAATTTCCCTGGAAGCTGAATGCATTGTGTCCAAATCAGACCTGTTCACAGCTCAGATCAGTGGGAGTGCACGCACATGTATGTTGTCTGCACAAGTGTGCCTGTGTGTTGTATTTGTGAGCACTGGGATGTGTATGCTGTGCACATGTGCATGTCTGTGAACCTGTGTGCTATGCCAACATGTGCCATATGTGTGCACATGTGTGTGTCATAGGAACATGCCTCATGCCATGTGTGTGCATGCGTGCACGTGTGAGTGCTTATGTGCATGTGGGTCATGTGTGTTTGCATGTCTGCACGTGTGTTGAGTGTGAGCACATGTGTGCATACAAAGCGTGTGTAGCATTTGTGGACATGTATGTTCATATGTACCATGTGCGAACACATGCATGTGTGCACTGTGCATTTGTGTGTGCCACACAACTAGGTAATGAAATTTCATAGGTAATGAAAATCACTTATTCCTGGGATTAAGACCAATTTGTGTAAGGAACAAAATTAAACTTTCAGCCAGCCATGATGGCCACTGGGGCGTTTGGGGAGCTGGCCCCGCGTGTCTGATGTGATTGCCCTGGAAAGTCCTCCTCACGGAAGCAGGGCAGCTCAGCGCCCCCTGGGGGTCCTCGCGGCTCCTGAGCCCCCAGGCCCCCAGCTCCACATAACCACCAGGGCTCTTTCTGAGGCCTCTGGTCAGTAGCAGCACTAATGTCTGGGGACGTGAGGCACCGGATGGGTCCCGTTTGCTTGGTGTGGTGCACATGGAAGCCTGGGGACAGGGATTCCAGCAGGAGAAGCCCCAGGCCCCTGTTCCCAGACCCCCCCCCCCCCCCCGGCTGAGGTGCTGGCTCCCGTCCCAGATGTGCAGGGGAAGGAGGAACAGGCAGGTGGCCCTCTTGCGCTGGCTGGAAACAGCACCTTGGAAGTCAGAACTGTGGTGGCCGTGCCCTGGCCTCCCAGTGTCGTGTCCAGCCCCTGCAGTTGACGGATCATCGCACGTGTGAGTGCTTGGCCCTCGTGGAGGGTGGGAGGTTCCTTCACTCGATGAGCTCCACCCTGATCACCAAGGGAGGGAGCCGTCCCTCTCCCGTGCGCTGAACAGGTCTCCAGCGGACCTGGCTGGGCTGTGGCTGGGCGCCTGCGTGTGCCGCGTGTCTCTCCCCAGAAAGCCGTGGAGGGAGTGGGCGGTGCAGCCCTCATGTTGTCCATGGAGGATCTGGGGTGCAGAGAGCTGAGGGACAACCCTGAGAAGCAAGGCCACGCGTCACCTCCTGTTCTGTCCCCATCCAAGCCCTTGTCTCTGCATTTCATTTAGTGCCTGTGCTGACAGTGACCTCTGCAAACTGGAGAATGCTAGCTAGCTTGTCTGCTCACCAGTGTCCCTGGTGGCAGAGGGGACCCCTGGCAGGAGGGCTCTTGGTATAGCCTGGGTTGGTTCTCGTGGGCAAGGCCAGCTCTCAGGCCCCCCTCCTTGGATCGGTGTCCCTGCCTGGCCTCAGACTGCTAAGTTACAGCCATGTGCCTCGTCTGGGCTAAGCCATCCCCTCCTCGGTAGGCAGAGGTCTTCCCAGCAAGGACGAACGTGGTAGGCTTGAGACCTCCCTGCCTCGCCACCGTAGACTGTATGTCCCAAAGCTTTGCAGGTGCACAGCCTGCTGTAGTGGCCAAGGTACAGCATCCCCTTAAACAGGGAAGACAGCGGCCGTCATTCTTGGGAGGGGGCACCCCGCCATCAGGTAAGGAGCAGCCCGGGTCTCCCAGCCTCTCCACCCACAGGGAGTCCAGCTCCAGTCCCAGGCGGGGCTCCAGGGAGCCAGGGCTGCCTTTGAAGTCTGTGTTCCCCTTCCCTGTGGCAGAGCCGTCCCTGGCCAGGACGTGGGTGTTGGGGGTCCAGGGTGAGGGGACGTTGGCAGAGCAGGTTGCCCTGGGGAATGTTCCCAGGTAGGACAGGTGGTGGGAAGCCGGGCGAGCACCCGAGCTCCGCCGCCGGTGCTGGGCCGCTCACCCTCAGCGGGCGGGGTTCACAGCCCATCCAGCTGCTGTGTTGGGAATTCCTGTTTCAGCAGAGGCATCTCCTAGATGAGCTGCAAGGTCTCGGTGGCATCTCGCGGGCTTTAGCACGCCTGTGGGGCGGCAGTGAGGAAGCTGCCGCCAGGTCCCGCCTGTAGCCATCTGCCTCCCCGCAGGGCAGCGGGGAGACACTCCACAGCAGCCAGGTCACCTCCCACCAGCAACCACCACTCACCCGGGCCCCTGGGCACTGGAAACCCAAGTCTCAGGGGACCCTGCCCCCACGTGGGGGTCTTGAGGAAGCCCACCGCTGCCTCCAGCACGCGCCGGCAGTGCCAATGCAACCCGCCACCCGGAGCGCACCTGCCCGGTGCCGCCTTCATCCCTGTTCAGACTGTGTATATGCAAGCCGTCTGCATGCCGTGAGATTCCTGATTGTGTGGAATTTAGTTCGAATTCGAAATCACGCAGCATGCACCACGGGACTGGCCCAAGCCTGCCCCGAGCCACCCGTGGGCTGGGCCCAGAGCCTCCCAGCCACCACGGTTCATGCACTTAGTATGCACCGTCTCCCTTCCTCCACCGCCCTACCCGTGCACTGACTGCACACGGACTTGCACAAAGGAGAGTGGTGTCAGCATGGCCCCGCCTCTGGTGGATTCCATCCTGATCGCAGCCTGGACGGTCACGAGTGGAGAAGGCCGTGTGAGCCCCTGGGTTTGCCTGGAGAGGGGTCGTGGGCCGGGGGCCATGTCCCGCACGGCCCGAGAACGCGATGGGCGCTTTAGCACTACCGCCACTCGATCTCACTGGGTAACTTCTCATGATAGATTTGCATAATCAATACGGGTCTATTTTTATGTCAACTGAACACTGTAGAGCTCCTTCCAGTGTTTTTCAAGGTTGTTAAATTGAGACAAGTCATTGACTAATTTGTCCTATTTTTATTTAAAAAAGTGAATGGCCTGAAATGTTGTATGTGAATGTACATTTCTTAACTGCAACTTTTGTACTGAGTGTTTGCACTAGACTTTCTGAAGTCTTATTTAACAAAAATAAAGGAAAAAAATTGCTTGAGTAAGCCGGCACGACCCCTGTGCTGGAGGATGCCTGGTCCTGTGGGTGCTCGCGGGTGTCTCCTGCCGCGTGTGCCTTCGGGGGGTTTATCCATCAAAGCGCGTGTGGATGAGGCAGGTGTGCCTCCCTCGGAACAGCCGCCCTCTCGCTGACGCGCCGTGCCCACCAGTGTTTACGTTCTTTAAAGTTTCATTTGAGAGGCAGAGAGCGCCGGTGAGCACTGCCTGTCTGTGGGACCATTCCCCAGACGCTCAGGACGACCTGGGCCAGCCCAAGGCTGAAGCCGAGAGCCAGGAACCCGATCCAGGTCCCCCACGTGGGCCTCTTAACTGTGGGGCCGAATGCCTGTCCCTGCCCCGCATCTCTGTGCCATCCTCGCTCGTGGTTTAGTGTGGGCTCCATGTTGTGTCACAGGCTCAGCGTGTGGGCTCCGTGTTGTGTCACAGGCTCAGCGTGGGCGCCCATGTTACATCATGGGTTCAGTGTAGACGCCTGTGTTATGTCACAGATCAGTGTGGGCTCCGTGTTGTGTCACAGGCTCAATGTGGGCTCCGTGTTATGTCACAGGCTCAGCGTGGGCGCCCACGTTACATCACGGGTTCAGTGTGGGCGCCCGTGTTGTGTCACAGGTTCACGGTGGGGGCTCCGTGTTGTGTCACGGGCTCAGCGTGGGGGCTCCATGTTATGTCACAGGCTCAGTGTGGGTGCCCGTGTTATGTCACAGATCCGTGTGGGCTCCATGTTATGTCACAGGCTCAGCGTGGGGGCTCCGTGTTACATCACGGGTTCAGCGTGGGCGCCCGTGTTGTGTCACAGGTTCACGGTGGGGGCTCCATGTTATTTCACTCTCCTGGCCGGGAGGACTCTGCTGGAACAGTGTTGCCGCTCGGGTCTGAGTGTGCGGGACTTGGTGATGAACTCACTTTTGTTCACCTGTAAGCTGTCTCACCTCCTAAGAGGTGCGCACAGCCTGTGGGGAGCAATCCGGACTAGACTAAGTTACTCGAATTAAGACTTATTCTATGCATCTGCTCTCCCACAATATGGCGCTGGGAGAGAAGTAAACAGCTTCCGCACAGCTGCCTCCAGTTCAGCCAATAAACTGTAGGACTTGCTCCTGATTGGAGGAGAGCAGCGTACTCGGCGTGTGGGCAGCCGAGTTGGGATTGGCGGAGGAGGACTATAAAGGAGGAGAGAGACGGCATGCACCGGGAACATCTATGGGGAACATCTAGCTGAAGGAACACCTGTGCAGCCCCCGAGTAGAGCCGGCCGGCGGTGTGCTGCTCCCCTGCGGAAGTGGGGAATGTGGCCAGGGGGAACTGCCCTTCCACGGAGGTGGAAGGGATAGTAGCCAACCCGGGAAGAACCAGCAGCAAACCCGGGGAGGGCCAAGCAGACGAAAGAACAGCGCAGGGTCCTGTGTCGTTCCTCCACGAAGAGGGGGAGCGACAACAGCCGACAAGTTATTGTCCTTTGAAAGTTGGCAGTGACCTCGCTGGGGTTAGCGGAGTGGCGAGGGCCGGGCCTGATGTTTCTATTGAGAAGTGGGCAGCGTGGTTTTCCCTGGATGCTGTCTCAGTTCTCCAGGGGCACAGAACCAATTGTGTGTGTGCATGTGTGTGCTTGCCTGGGTCTCAGGGCAGCAGTGGGCAAGAGCGAGACACACGCACACCCACACCTTATCTTAAGGAAGTGGCTCGCGGCATCCAGGGCAGAAACTCCCCTTCCTGGGGACTCGGTCTCCGCTCTCGTGGACGTCAGCTGGCTGCAGGGGCCTAGCCTGTGGCGCAGGCTCATCACAGCCCCCAGAGCACTTTGCAAACCCGAGTCCCAGCTACAAAGCATCCTCACGGGGCACTCGCCAGCCACTGGGTCCACGGCCACACCAAGTCCACGCGTGAGGTCGGCCCCGGCAGGTGGGAAGCACACTTCGCTAAGTGCCTCCTGACTTCAAGTCAGTTTCTAGTTAAAGGGTTTTTAAATCTTTATGATGCAGACACTCCCCCCCACCCCCCAGCCAGAGGAAAAAAGCCAAAGGCACACAAGCGGAATTTAACTAGAGAAGCAAACATGGCCAACCACAAGACGGACGGCTGCTCTGCAGAGCCATTCAGGAGGGGACAGCTGACTGAGCACGCGCATGTCCACGCCCGCCTTTAGGAGACGCCCCCGGGATCCGCACGAAGCTGCAGGGAGCTCACGGGCGCCTCCTGCGCTCACCGCGGCAGCCCTGGGGGCTTCCTGAACATCCCGGTAAACTCGCCTCTGGCTCGGAGACTGGCAGCCGACGGGGAACAGGGCCTCGGCCCACCACTACGCTGCACGGCCCTCTGCCATCCTGAGCCTGTTTCCCGTCGGCACCTGCACAGGGACAGGACGCGCCCCCCCGCTGCGTGGTGTCATTTGTGAGACGGCCCAGAGCGCTGGCACAGCCACGTGTGCTTCAGTCGGACAAGCAGGTGGTGATCAGCTCGCGTCGCGGTGCGGCGGGCTAAGTTCTCCTGTGCACCTGACACCTCCCTCCAAGCGCCCGAGAGCCCCAGTCCTTCCAGGACACGTTTCCCCAAATGCCTGCCTCATTTTTCTTCCTCGCTGGACTCACTCTGCATTTGAATTTCATCCTTGGGAAGCGAGCTAGGGCCGGAACTCACCTGACAGCCGGTCTGAATCACTTGGCGTTGAACGCAGACTTTTGGAAACAGTTCTCATGAGAAGTTTTATTGTTAACAAGGATTGGGAAGAATTACTCTGAAGCTGCACCTCTGTTGTGCACTTACAGTTTTTCTGCTTCTTTATACTTTAAATCTCATTTGAAAAGCAAATTTACCATTTTAATACATCAGTTTTATAACTCGACAATTCATAACTGTTACAAAAGAGAAGAAAGTGAACAGTTAGTTGGACACCTGTTTGTGCAGGGAGAACTTGGAGCTGTGAGGGTTCCCACGACACAGCGGGCACAGCCTGGGCACTGGAGGGACATCTGTGGTGTCTGGAGCCGCCAGCCGGAGGCTCAGCCCTGGGGACGCGGTCTTGCTGGCCACTGCCCCTGGCTGGCACCGTGTGGAGGGGGTGGGGGCTTCCCCAGAGAGGGCCTCCTGGGCTGGGACCTGCGCAGAGGGACTTGGCGCCTGTTTCTCAGTCCAGGCTGAGGTTTCCCGTGGGGTTGCGCTATGACTCCACTCTGCCATTGGCCTTGACCCTGTGCCCTAGAGGAGCCAGCCCACGTGCAGACACACGGAGCGGGGTGGCAGGAAGCAGCCAGCCCGGCCTGGAACCTCACTCTCTCATGCGCAGAAAGCAAATGGCAGCCCTTTCGGTGAGCAGGGGCGATGGGATCCTCACAAGAACAAGCGGGAGGCGACGCTCGTGTTGTGGACGCTGGGGCTCCAGGAGGCCGTCTCCTCTTCCTCACTTCCGTCACGGAGCCAGGCCCCAGCTCCAAGTCCACGCTGGGCACAGCAGCTGGGCCCTGTACGCCCCTCCCTCGGCACAAAGCCCAGGGCGCAGCGTCTGTCCCAGGCCCGGTCAGCTGCGGTGCCCTGGGGTTTGTGTTTCTTCTCTGCAACAGCCCCCCCCACCCCCCCAATCCCGAGGATCTGAGGGTTTGAAGGAACGGAGCCCAGAGCAGCCCACGCTCCGGCTCCCTGCCCTCTCAGAGGACCCCGGGAGCCGGACAGCTGGCCGTCCTCGTGCAGGGGTTGCGTCTGTCTTCAGGGAAGGAAACCCAGGCCGTGACGGCGGCGATGTCCCCGAGGTGAGCACCAGGCTCCATCCAGGCCAGCAGCCTCGTCCTGGAGCACAGGACGACACGCAGGGCCCTGCCTCACCTCCCACACCTCACTGGCGAGGGGGCGTGGGCCTGGGGCCAGCCCAAGGAGGGCACAGCCGAGTGGGGCCCCGCCCTGGCCTGGGGCCAGGCACTCACTCCTCCTGGACGGCCAGCTCGTGCTGCACGGCCTCCTCGATGTCCAGCAGCAGGCGGATCTCCCACTGCCTCACCCGCTCCATCTGCACAGGAGAGGCGCCCCAGCGTTACCGCGGGCAGGCTTGAACAGAGGCGCCAGGCCCGGCGTCCGCGCCCGGGCCACAGACACCAGGGGAAGATGCGCCCGCCAGGCTGGGGGCCTCCAGTGCTGCAGGCGGCCTGGCTAGCGGCGTGGGCTCCCTCCAGGCATGCAGAGGGACGAGGGCACAGAACCGCTGCAGGGCTCCCCACCTGCTCTGCTCCCAGGGGCTTCTCCTCCAATCCTAGCAGGTGCACCCCCAGCCGGTGGAGGAGGGAGGTCTCGGCAGTGCCGGGCCACTCCCTGGCTCCTGGCTACTCAGAGGCCTCACAGAGTGCGGGTGGGCTAGCCTTGTCTGCGGCCGTGCTGGGCCATGGGGCCAGGTCCCCGCCGACCCCTCAGAGCCCAGGGCGGTCCCAGGAGTAGTGACGGCAGCACCAGGTGCAGCTCAGGTGCCCTGGGAGGTGGTTGCCAAGGAGCTGGCCCCAGGCCCCTGTGTGCTGACTACGGAGGCCAGAAGCAGCCAGGCCCCACAGCCGGTGACGAGAGGGCGGGGTCTCCGAAGGCAGCACTGGTCACAGCAACGTGTCCAGGCAGAGCCACCTTGGGACAGGCAGTGCTGGCGTCCATGGCCCAAGGGCCGGGGTCAGCCCAGGAGGACTCCCCTGCAGAGTGGGGGTGCTGCCTCCTGAAGCCCAGGGCCATGGAAACAGAAGAGGCCGGAGGCAAGTGTTGAGCTCACTTGTCCGGGGCAGGGTCGCCCCCTAACCACCCCCAGGGACCCTGAGCTCCGGCGTTTGGGGCGGGGGCTGGGGGCAGAACGTACCGCAGCAGCCCGGGCCTGGGGGTCTCGTCTCTTCCTCGGGGCTGCGTCAGGAATCCCAGGCAGTCCCGTGGTCCCCAGCCCGCTCCTTGCTTGAGGGACTCCTTGCTGTTGCTGAGGCTCTGGGGCCGATGTGTGTGGTTCCTCCCCAGGGACCGAGAGAGCCGAAGACTGACCGGATGCCCTGATGGTGGACAGCTGCCTCCTGCTGGCGGTGGTCGCAGGGATGAGCCCTGCTGGGTGGGACACGAGCTCTTGGGAGGAGAGTGTGGCCTCAAGGGACGCAGTGAGGCAGGACGCCCCTCCTGGGGCCGGGGGGCTGAAGCCCAGTGCCGGCCCCGCGGGGGTGCTGTGTGTGACCGGCCGTCTCACAGCGGGGCTCGTCTCTGGGAAGGGGCTCAGTGCCGGCACCTGCAGGGGGAAGCAGGAGACCTGGGTCTCGGAGGGCACGCGACCACCATCCCAGCCAGGAGCTGACCCAGCACGACCGCCCGGGGCCCCAACATGGAGCCCCAGGGCGCGATGTCCCCAGAGCCAGGCCACCACCATCACCACCAGGGCAGCAAGCCCTGGCCAGAAACAGGCTTGTGAGGTGGGATCCAAGCTTGGCTGATTTTCATATAGACCTAATGTGCAAAGTTAACATGTAACCCTAACACGGACAGTTAGCATGTAAATCTAACATGCACAGTTAGCATGTAATCCTAGCATGAGAAGTTAATATCTAAACCTAACATGTACAGTTAACACATAAATCTAACATGCAGTTAACATGTAAACCTAGCAAAGTTAACATGTAAACCTAACACATAGTTAAGACATAAACCTAACACGTGCAGTTAACATGTGAATCTAACATGGAAAGTTAACGTGTAACCCTAACATGTGCAGTTAACATGGAAACCTAACGTGCAAATTCACGGTGCAAGGCCGCTGGACACGGCAGTTTTTCATGCGTAGGCTGGGGGACCACGGTGGGCTGGTGGCTGCACGTGGACGACGTCCAGCCAAGCCTTCGTCCAGGGTGCGGCCTCCATTCAGGTGATCCCAGCCCTGTCCACACGCTTTCAGAAGGGAGGCATGTGCTCTCAGTGTCCCTGGAACACTGCTCGTACCGAATGGCCTGTCACTACCTCTGTGTTCTGGACACACGTGGGCATTGGAGACAGGGGCTTTTATCAAAAAGGAACTGCAGGGGCCGGCGCTGTGGTGCAGTGGGTTAAGCCACTGCCTCTAGCACCAGCATCCCATATGGGCATGGGTTCGAGTCCCTGCTGCTCCACTTCTAATCCAGCTCTCTGCTGTGGCCTGGGAAAGCAGAGGAAGGTGGCCCAAGTGCTTGGGCCCCTGCACCCACATAGGAGACCCAGGTGAAGCTCCTGGCTTTGGCCTGACCCAGCCCTGGTCCTGGTAGCCTCTGGGGAGTGAACCAGAGCATAGAAGATATTCTCATTCTCTCTCTCATCCTCCCCCCCCATCCCCTTCTCCTTCTCTCCATCTAACCCTGCGTTCAAACATATAAATCTTAAAGAAACTGCAAAGTAATATAGTTTCTTATTAACAGGCTCCTTTTAACCTATTTGTAAAAGTGAGGAAAGAATCGTGATTGCGTGTGGGTACCTTGGCGTGGTCTGGGTGCCCTGGCCTCACGGGTTCAGACTTAACCCCCCTGTGAAGTCTTAAGAGGGTGGGCACTTCACGGAATCTGGTGCCGGGAGGCGTGGCCTCTGGGAGGTGTCTGTGGCGGTGGGGAGCCCCGTCACCAAATCCTGGTGGCTCTGAGAGCGAGAGGCCAGGTACACACAGCCAGAATGGCCCCAGACGGTGATGGGGAACGCGGCGTTTATAAAGTCGCCTGCCTCAGGGTCAACACGTGATTTGTGTTTTGCTGGTGAGTTAACATTGCAAGATGTGGGCAGCTGACAGGACGAGCTGAACCTTGTTCCTGCCACCGTTCACGGGGGGCGGGGAGCTTCCGTCTCCCAGCACCTGCTGTCCTGGCCATCTGGGAAGCGAGTGGCGCTCAGGACCCCGCCTCCTGCCTCGCGCCTGAACACGCCACAGGCGATCAGGACTGTGTTCTTTAACAGTTCATCGATTACCAGAAAAACGTAAAGGAATCTGAACCGGACCTGGATTGCTGTGGCACATCACCTGCCAAGGAAAATCCCAAGCGGAATAAGGACCGACACGGGAAAGCAAAGCTACAGAAGGGTGGGACGGGGAGGCGGAGGGTGGTCCTGAGCACTTGTCCTAATCAAGCCTTTCCTGGGACTCCCAGCATAGAAGCTGTAAGAGAAAAATCAGGGTAAATACAAACTCCTGCAGGATAAGAGCAAGGAAGAAACGCTCATGAAAACTCAAAGACCAATGTCGACTCCACACGAGGGCAACAAGAGGTGGATCCCTGTTATCTGGGGACCAACGCCCCAGTGGGTCACAGAGCCTGGCCCCTCAGCACGCACCTGCTCCACTCCACCCCGAGAGAAAGCATGGATCAGCAGGAAACCAGCCCACACTGTTTAGTCCAGCAGACAAAAACCCCAAGTACAAGAGCTTTAGACACAGTGGGGAGGCGACCGGGCAGCGTTCCGCGTGCTGCATTTGACCGGGAACTCTGCTTCTAGAAGTTTCTGCCTAGGAGAATGTGTGTTCATGGCATCGTTTTGTAGAAGACTGAAGACAACCCCCACCCTCACCCTCGTGGTCTGTTTCCTGGACACGGCCATTTGTCAAAGTGCGGTGTTTTTACAGAACAGGAAACTCTGGCTGCACCAGACACAAACCGAGGGAAGGCAAGCGGCAGCCCCAGTCCCGTTCACCTCCCGGCGGCAGGGAGGGGAGAGCCAGGCTGCCGTCTCTTCCTGTGCTCTAAGGCGGTCGAAGGCGGCAGGGAGTCCTCTGCGTGGACCCGAGTCGTTTGCACCGAAATCAGCTTAGCTTTTGGATCCATTTTCCAGGAACTTCCCGAGGCACCTGCACATTGTTGAATCACCCAGGTGCCGCCTCCTGCCATCAGAGCCTCCAGGCCGTCCGGGCCTCGGGGCGCCCAGCAGGTGCTAATCAACCAGACTGGCCTGCACCTGGGATGGCCTGTGTTGGGGGGGCTTCCCCTAGGTCACCACCGCTCTGGGGCCCCTCCTGCCCCTGGCCGTGGCCGAGGGAGAGCTGTGGTCAGGAGGCTCCTACTGCGAGACTCCAGACGCAGGATGGACCCAGAAATGCCCCATGTCCCAGGACAGGACCTGGGTCCCCCCACCACTAAGTTGTCACTGAGGGCCTGGCCAGGCCTGGGGTGCATTCTTGAAACCTCAGCCCAGGTTAGGGGGACATGACAGCAGGCTTGGCTGGTGGGAGTGCCCTGTGGGGACCCTAGGCAAGATCACGGAGGACCCAGGTGGCAGCACAGTCAGGTCCTGCCCAGAGTGGCCAGAGCAGGGTCACGGCCTTGTGTCAGCCGCGGACTGGCGGGACCCTGCCTCCTCGTCCTCCCGTGTCAAAGCCCCTCCACCATACCTGCGCCCCAGGCTCCATCCCGTTTCCCTGCAGGACTGGCCTCCGCGGAGAGTTGGGCACTCGTGGCGTGGTGGTGCCTGCCCTGAGACCCTCCCACTGCACGTCCAGCCCAGGCAGGAGCTCGCTCACCCGCGCTGGAGCTCATGTAATGAGCACGCGGCCGCGCAGGCGCAGGGCAGGCCGGCTTCACTCGCGCTGGGGGCCTCCACCTGGCTGGTGCCTTCTGCGTGCACCTGTGTGCGTCCCTGGCCTCCAGCAGGTCAGGCCTGGCTGAGGCCTGGCGGGACAGGTGGCGCCCTGCTGCCGGCCCCCTATGGACTCAGAGCAGAGGTGGGTAACAGGCACCCATCTAAGCCATCTGCTAACACCCATCTCCTCCCCCTCTGGGTATCTGCACACCTGTGCCTCGGGGGAGGGGCCTGAAAACCAGGCCAGAGGCTGGACCAGGAGCAGCCACTGTGTTCGCTTGCTTTCAGAAACACGCCCCAGTCTCCCATGGGTTCACAGAAACAGTGTATCTCCCATGGGTTCACAGAAACAGTGTATCACGATGGGTGGATTTAGAATATTTTTACCAAGATACACTTACCTTTTAATTCCATCTGCACAGCTCCTCTGCAGGACCCTCCTGCTCCCAGGCCCCCGGCACCTGGGGGGCAGTGCGGGGAGATGGCGCCTGGGGGTGGGGAGAACAGCCCGGGGTGGCTAGCAGAAGTGAGACAGGACCCAGGACCATCTGACCAAGGTCACTGCCCTGTATCCTTCCTGCTCGTTTATACTGTTTAATAAGTTATTTTCCTTAACCTTCCATTAAGTCCCCATGTGCCTTTGGTGGATTTTGCCACTGGCCCTCCGGTTTCTCTGTGCAGTGCGGGCAGCTGGGGGGCTGCTCCAGCTCTGACATCTGTGCACACAGGGACCTCGGCAAGGGACGCACGGCGCAGACCACGGGCAGGTGCAGAGCTGACACCTGGGGTAGGTGCCATGGCACCGTCCTGACGCCCGCTCTGAGGAACCAATTGGTGGCCAGAGAGGCTGAGGTTCCTGACCATAGAGAGCAGGGGCCTCCATGGGACCCACCTGCCTGTCCTGGTGGTACAGGGCTGCCCAGCGGCAGGTGCACGTTGACATTCATGTGCTGTGAGCTTAAGTGTGGGTGACCGAGCCAGCAATTCCACCTGCCAAGTGTCGGGGGTAGTGCCGGGGTTGGTGCTTAGCGCCATTACTGATAGCCAGAGGGGTTATCTTTACGGGTCCAATTAGTGCACACTTCCAGGAAAAGGACACAGAGGAAGTCAGTGTGGACGAATCTAAGGGAAAGATCTGTAGCTGATAAAGTGTGTGTGCAAACACACACATGCATGTATGTACACCTGTGCGTGTACGCGTGTGAATGTGTACACTGTAGGCGGGATGTTGGTGACACATGGAATGAGAAAGCCTACATGGGGGATCCACTTTAAAAAGCAGACACATATACGTGTGCACACACATGTACATGCATGCACACACATGCCTGGAGAGAGACACAGAAATGGTGACATTGGTGATACCTGGCAGGCACAATGATGGGTAAATTCTAAGTTCTCTTCCTGATTTTTCTAGGAAAACATGTGATGAGTAAGTAAAAATTCTAAAAACTGAAACTCACTTGGCATAGTCCATTCAAGGGGGAGCTGGGGAGGCAGTGGGGGGGTTGACCAAGTCCTGGGTGAGCCAGGCACTGGGCGCCTGCTGTGATGGGCATGGGCCCAGCGAGGTGCTCTGAGACATCAGGTGTGCCGTGACATGGCCCCCGCCATCCAAGGCAAGTGCCACGTGGCCCGGGACGGTGGCCTCGCCGCTCGCACCTGTGGGTCTGCGGTCACGGGGAAGAGAAGTTTGCAGGTGCAAAGGAGGTCCAGACTCTAAAACCAGGGCGGTGCTGCGGCAGGTCCGACAGCAGAGCCAGGCATGGCGGGGGCTCCCGGGGCACACTGGGAGCTGGGGACAGCACCCCTGTGCAGTGAGCGCACTGTGACGGGGGCGCTGAGACCCCTCTGCTGGGGTTGGGGCCGTGGCTGCCTGCCTGGAGCGCTGGAGAGCTGGGGGCCGCCAGTCGTCGGTGCCTGCAGACACGCAGACCTGTGGAAGCCCTCGTGAGTGGCACTCAGGAAGGAGCTGGGCCCAGCACCGGCTGGGGAGACCACACAGGCGGCTGGGGCGAGGGTGGCCTCACTGGCACACCGAGGGCGCTTGCCGATGGCAACCCTGTCTCCCCTCACAGGGCCAGCCTCGGGCGGTGCCTTCCACCATTTCCGGCAGCCGGTGAATCTGCTTCAGCCAGTGACACTGGGCTCCCAGAGCAGACCCCGCTTCCCGACGCCCGGGACATCCTGGGTGGGCGTGGTCCCCTCTCTGATCCCCGTTTGCACATGGGCAGTGGGGACTGTGTGGGAAGGTCCCTTGGGCCACCTTGGGGCCACTCACCTCTCTCTTGGCCACCCTAGCTCCCAGCTGCAGCCACGGCTGCTCTGTCCTCCTTTCAAATGCACCTGCTTCCCACAATCCTCTGCCCATTCCCTGGTGATTTGAGTGACTTTGGGACCGGAGGGCTTGGTGAGCCTGTGGCCTCCGAGTGGAGTGTGTGCGTCAAGTCTCTGGGGGTCTTGTCCACCCAGGGGTCAGATTTCTGCACGCACCTCATGCATGGAGGGGCGGGTGGACGCCTGCTGTACCCTGAGTGCAGGGACACTGGAGTCGCCCAGCTTTGGTGGCCAGCGCGGAGACTGAAAGCGGCCGTCTGAGCTTGGTCTCGGGGCACCGGCCCCTGGACACCTCCGACTGCCACTGTGCTCAGAGCCGGGCTTGTTGACGTGACGAGGGCTGGGTGCCTCCCGCCTCGGGCAGCGTGGGCGTGAGTGCTTTTCCTGCAGTTTGCACAGCAATGACCTTCACCTGCCCGGGAGACCAGGGCAGTCGGTCGGGCCTTTGTACGCGTTTACATCATTCTGGCGTCGACCTGAACACGGCCAGAACACCGTGTGTGTGTGTGTGTGTGCGCGCGCGTGTGTGTGTTTCCCTAGGTTAAAAACGATTTCCCTTCTGAGGGTTCCTGGATCGCAGTGTTTTTTTCCCTTTGAAAGTCTGACGCTGCCCTTGACCCCTCATACTGTTTTCAGATCAGGGATTGCCCAAGCTTCCGGCTGCTGGCGAGTGGGGGACGCACCGCCTGGGGGCAGAGTGGGGGGCAGCGGGTGAGGGGAGCCCCGGGTGATTGCATCAGCCTCTGAGGAGTGAGCCCCGCAGTGTGGCCCAGGAGGCAAACAGCTGGCGTCTGTTCAGTGCACACTTGTGCCAAGCGCTGCTAGGAGAGAAACTGAGGCCCGGGGTCACGTGCGGTGCATTCGCGGGTGGGCAGGCCAGCCCCGCGTGACACGGCCTCCACCACCTTCCTTCCAGCCGCTAACGGAGCTCTGGGTGGAGGGCTTGCACTGTGCTTGCTCTGGGTGCCTCAGGAAGGGCCAGTGAGTGGGCAGAGCGGCCGCTGCCTGGTGGCCCCAGGGCCAGGCCGTGCCTGCTCCTGCCCTCGGGAACCAGATGGCTTCCCAGGGCTGGAGGCAGAGGCTCTGTCTCGGGTCCCTGGTCCAGGGCTGGCTTTCGCCACGTGGGTCCCATGGGAGTTCCTTGGCTGGCCCCGAAATCCTCTCCCGCACCCCAGCAGCCCTGCGGCCTGGAGCGCGCCCTGCGGCCTGGAGCTCGTCACGTCTCTGGCCACTTGCGAGCAAATACCTGTGTGAGGCAGGAAGGGACGGGCACGACCCTGGGCAGAGCAGGGGCGCTGAGGAGGCCCCTGGGGACTGTCCCAGCTGCTCCTGGCCCGAGGAGTACACCGCCCGTGCTCATAAAATGCTGGCTCCAAGCCGTCCCCAGCCCCTGAGCCCCGCACCTGGGGGCTCTCAGCTCTTGACTGGGCAGTCCCTGTCAGATGGGCTCGGGGCACCTGCCGTGTCCTGGGATGGCTGGACCCTGCTGCTGCCCCCAGGCTGGAGGGGGGTCAGGTTTCACACGCACACATACAAATGCACACACAAGCATGCGCACGCACACACGCAGGCCTCTTCGTGGCGACAGCCCAGCGAGTCCTGTGCAGGCCTTTACTGCCTGTCCGTCTGCCCGTGGGGCAGCCTGGCCCCAGCATCCCTCCTTCTGCCCTGCAGCTGTCTCAACGGTGGCTGGCTCTCAGTGTCCACCCGAGTGTGTGGCTGGTGCTGGGAGGGGCTGCCTGAGCCAGGGTCCCCACGGCGGCCCCTCCCTGCTGCTCTGTAAGGGAGGGGGCTCCACCTGCTGTGTCCTCGCACCGGCGTCCTCTGCCTCCCCAGTGGGTCTGAGCCCCCATGCGTCGTGTCCAGAGCCCCTGCTCCCCTCTCTCTCCCCATATCCCAGCTTCTGGGCAGGAAGTGAATGGCTGGTGTCCCCTCCTCTCACACGGACTCCCACCTGCCCTCCGAGGCCAGGTGCCCAGTGACGGCCGGACACCCCCTCTTCCCACCACACTCCTCACCAGGGCCAGCCGCCGTCCCCGCGCTGCACAAGCAGTGCAGTTTTGTGGGGGGTGCTGCAGGAGGCGGGGGTCCCAGGACAGAGCTGCTGGGATGTCGGTAGGAGACCAAGGGCTGAGGGATGGGGACAATGGACCGGTAGCAGCTCGGGCCCCGAGAACGGCGTGGCCACACAGGGGGTCCTGGGGATACACAGGTAATGCTGGCTTTTTCAAATTAACAGGGGGACAGGAGTTGAAGCTGGGAAATGAGTGGGCGTTGTGGGGCAGGGGGAGGCTCGGGGCAGATGGACGGTGGCCAGCCTGCCCACACGGGCCTGGAGGCAGGGCTGGGTTCTGTTAGTGTTGACACACACGGTGTGGTTTGCTGTTGCCATGAGGCAAGCAATGGAAACATTTGGGGAATCGATTCTGCGGGAGGAAGCGCCGCTACGTGCAGGGTAACAGACCCCGGGGAGCGGGCCGGGCTGGCCGAGTGCCAGGCCAGCGTGTGACTGCCCAGGCCCTGCGTCCCAAAACACCGGCCCCATGGCTTCACGCACTGTGCTAAGCAGGCAGGTGTGGACACGGCGGGAGCGAGGGACTGCGCTTGGAACTCAGTGTTCGTGCACCTAGATAGAAGTGCTGATTTATAACAGAAAATGTAAATGTA